TATTAACTTAGTAGTAATCTACGTAATAACAGAAATCTACCGATGCAAGATTCCAAATTTCTAAGCCCAGTAGCTTGTAAGCTGATTTTTCCGTTACCCTTATTGTTTGTGTTCGCGATATCTTCTGAACTATTTGTCCAATTTAAATACTGATTTTTATTCTACATTAAATTTTCCTGCCAACAAACGCATTTATTTGGATAAAGATAAATAGTGAAACTAATAAAACAACGACGCAAATAGGATGCGTTTTTTAATTCATTTTGTAAACAAAAAAGTGGTTATTGTAAGAAAACCGTTAAAGATAGATATATGCTATCGCGGACTTTGTGTAGAACTTTTTGAGATCTACATTTCTTTCATATGTCTTTTTTATATACCTCTAACGGTTTAGGCAGCGTAAGCCGAGAAAAGTTAAAGTTTAGTAATTTTTTGACGCCGGCGTCCTGAAACACGCTGTTAATTAATAGATCCTAAACATTAGTAATAATAAAATGTAGCCTATGTTACTCACAGATAAATTACCTTTCTGATGGTGAAAGAATTTTTAAAATCGGTCCAGTGGTTTTTGAGTTATTTTAATACATACAAAAATACAAAGTTTTCCTCTTTATAATATTAATATAGATGAACAGGAGTATTGCCGCCTTTTCTGGTTCAAGGCGATTACGCAGAGGTTCATAAATTAAACCCGCGCTACTAAATACTTGTTCGCTAGGAACACTGCCCGGCTACTTGCATGATATTCGCATCCGCGTGAACATCCGCACTGATTAATGCGGATGCAGATGTCCAAATCTATGCGGAAGCTCCGCATTTGCGGATGCGGATGCGAATATTCGCAACATCCCTGATCACAACATCATACCTTTTTCACTTTAACTTATTCCAAGACGTGGTAATAAAATAGTTCATTGTAGCTCCGATTGAAACGAATTAAATATGCAACTTGACTATTGTGCTACGCTTCCATGACATATTGTTACGTTAAAGCAACTGGACTTAAATATCAACTATGCACTCAGCAGCTTGGTAAAATGTAACTGCCAAGTCCGGCTATTGAGGTCACTAAGACACTACACCCTACACAGGACGAATGTCTCAGTTCTCATAGCAGTCACAGCGACTTATCGCATTGTTTGAGTATTAAAACTTCAATACAAACTTTACTCACATTCGAATGCAGTACTCACACCTGCTGGTAGGCAGTTGCGTCGCAGACGCGCTGTACGAAGTCAGAGGCAACACAGGCGCGCTACTTGTAGCCATGCGCGTTGCAAGTCTATTGCACTTAGCCATGTGCGCTGTGGGTGCACTGCATACAGCCTGACGCGTTGTACGAAGCTAGACGCATTGCACGTAGCCAGGCGAGATGCATGAAGACAGCAGCGTTGCCAGGCTAGGCCTTCCAGGACAAGGTACTCGAACGCACTACTTGCACCATCTCTTCAGTCGAACGAGCTGGTATCCAAACAAAGAAGCCATATTAGTAAAATGACGTTATAATTGATCAGCAATCTGACGATCCATTCGGTTAAGTAACTAAACTGAATTTCAGTCATGACGATATCCATCTGACGTAGTAAAAGACTTCAATCATTAAAAGCTCGGCCTTACCTGACCATTACTAATTTGTTTCGTTAAGTTAACACTTCGTTGAAATAACAAAAAAAGGCCGCAGGCTACGTCACAAGTACTTTTCGTA